ACTTTTCAAAGAAATGCCCAAATAAATAATCATGATTAACGATTTACTTTCGATATATACCTGTATATGTACTTAAAATAACTAATTTAAAGTTTTATGAATATAAGTTTTTGAATGGATTCAAATTACAAAGATGTCTTATTAGCTACTTTTCAAAGAAATGCCCAAATAAATAATCATGATTAACGATTTACTTTCGATATATACCTGTATATATACTTAAAATAACTAATTTAAAGTTTTATGAATATAAGTTTTTTGAATGGATTCAAATTATTTACTGACATTTAATAGTAAATCAATAAAATAATTGAACGTTTTTAGATATTCTCTGTGTGTTGCCCTATTTTTGAAGAGTGACGTTCAAGGACGAAAACGGTTAAAATAAAATAATTAGCACATAGTCGAAATATTTTTTTTTAGTTTTCTTACATACACACACATATATATATAGACACACACGTGTATGCGTGCGATATTTCATTATTGCAATGAAATATTTTGGTTGGTTACAACTTTTAAAAATTATTTTGAAATTTCTCCATGCTCTTATTTTTTTTTATTCTACACATTATCCAGTTAAGCCTTATTCATTTCGTTAGTTTTAAAAAGTAATGTCAATATATATATATATAAATCTAGTTGGATTAGTGAATCCAATGCATCAATCACTTACACTTTTCACTAACACACACACGATTTCATTACCATCTAGAGATTTACAAAGCAATAGTTAGTGTAAAGAAAGTCTACGACCAGACGCAAATGTAGGTTTTAAAATAGTTTTCTAAGCTGTTAACTGCTCTCGAGAAAAATGCTTAGGAAGTCACATTAAATATAGTTCTCTGGAACTCAAGCATACGCAACGCTGTAAGACGTAACTTTACTAGAGATAGCACTATTTAATTACGTTTATTTGTTTCGCCAAACCTACACAAGGACTACCTGCGCTGACCGTCGCTCATTTTGAGCTGATAGACTAGAGGGAAGATAGTTTGTCAACACCACTCATCGCCAACTCTTGTCAGGTTCGAATCGTGGGATTTGACCGTCACTCTTATAACGCACCAAGGCCCCAAAATGCTGAGCGTGATTTTCTTTCTGGCGGAAACGGGACGCAAACTACGGAACTTCAGCTCCACAGTTCGGCACGCTAACCAATGAGCCGTACTCGGCGTCCCTCTAAAATAGTACGACTCCAAGAAACAGGTTCTTACACTGTTTACTTGTTCAGACAAGCAAAAAAGAAGAAGGAAGATTATATTTGTTTAAGCTTGTTAAGCCTATTTTTGCATTACTTAAATACATATGTGATTGAATGTTCTTTGGCACACAATGTTGGAATGATTAAGTATTTATCGAAATAGTATTTATTCAAATCTAATGAGTTGAAGCATCTTAACAGTATCTTGGAAGTCCTGTTAATATACATATTGTATTTGAATAGTTTTAAAGGTGATTTTCTTAATATATATTTAGCCTAGTACACTAAACTGAATCATACATCTTATTGCTTAATGAATTGCAGCTACATGTTTCTTTCATCAAATCACAAGAAGAAAGCTAAGGATTGGCAAACAACTAAGAGTTGCATAATCTACAATACAATGATATCCTGGGGCAAGTATTTTCTACTACTCTCACTTTACTTAAGTTCAAGTAGCTTTCAATTACAACAATTATCAATGTTAATTTTAAAATACATATATAACTATATGATACCAGGGACACCTGTGGACCTCTAAAGGTACTGCATGAAAAAATAACAAAACATGTAAATTGAATTCTGTGTAATTTTTTTGCAAAAATCAAACAAGTGAAAACCAAATGAACTTATGAAAATATACATAAAACATGCAAGGAAAGCTAATAGCAAGTAAAAGTAAACAGAAAGAAATAACAGTAAGATGGCGCGGATTGCAAAGAATTTGTACTGTGCATGTTATTAGGACCCTAATTAAATTAACTGTAAGTATAGAGTAGACACGCTCATCATTTATCAACAATTATTTGTTTCTTTGGTGTCTGTTACTGCAATAACTCTCCATAAATGCTGCTGAAGGGGTCGAGGAAACTACAGCAACACCTCACTATAATCTTATGTAATTGATCAACAGAAAATGTTTAACTGTATGTTACTGTCGATGTGACAATAAAACGTGTATGTGAGAGAAAAAGACAGAGTAAGAGAGGCGGACTTTTTTTCTTGTAAGCTAAAAAACAAACAAACGATTATATGGACAACCTATCAAGGAATCAAAATTAACCTGTTGTGATATTGAAACTTATATGAGTAGTTACGGAGGCGCTTCAGCATCCAAAGGATGCCACCACAGCCAGAGGAAGGAGGATAGGGGTGATTTCATCAAAGATGATGAGGTCATAGTACCACGTTTTATCACTAGAGAGCGTGTCGTGAGGGGCTAGGTCGCCATGTTGTCATAGATTGTCGACAGAGGGCGTTACATGTATATCGTAACCGAAGATGACGAGGTCACACTTCCAAATTTTGCTACCAGGAGGCGTGTTGCTCGGTCGACATTTTGAATGATTACATAATAGTACCACAAAGTAGAGTTCAAACGTATCTCAACACAATTATAATTAATTAATTCGTCCATTGTATGAGTCATGGCTGCCTAGAAACACATTCTCTACTTTGTGGTACTATTACGTAATCATCCATCATGGCCGCCTGTCATGGCGGCGTAGCAACGTATCCCTAACGATTCGCCCTCTTGTGGCAACGTTTGGAACTATGACTTCATCATCTTTGATGATATCACTCACTCTCCACCTCCCCGTTGCTGTGGTGGCATCCTTTGGATGCTGAAGTGCTACCCTAACTACTTATATGCTATAATGTCATAAATGTTAGCAAATGTGTAAAATAAAATATTTTATTGATTCAGTCCACGAGTTAAGTTATTTGTATTAAACTTGCCATATCATTTACATACTTTAGTCTATCAACTGAATGATGAATTTTATGTTTTAAGTCTTCTTCTTAGTAAACAATTTTTGGTTTTGCCTTTTCTTTTAATATTCTTTTTTATAAGCTGTAAAACTGTTTTCACTTGTAGTACCATCTTGGGGTGGAGATGGCTGAATGTGTATACAATTTTTAATAATGTGTCATCAAAGCAAGCTACCTGCTAAACAATTAGCTTAGTAAATAATATAGCAAATATAATTTACTGGTCTAACTAGGAGCTTGCGCTGAGCCATAAACAAAAAAAAAAACCCTCATAATGATTAAAATGCATTAACTTATCAGTTGTGTAACCTAGCTGTTATTGGTATTTTCTGCCATAATTCCAACATCTGACAAGATTGATTCGGCTTACAATATTTAGGTTAATCTTTAATCCATATACTAATATATATATAATAACCAATACTCTTGTTTTATGTGGGCTCCTGTGATGCATTTGGTGAATCATTCAGTGCTGTAAATAATCAAGACAAGAGGAACTTGATAGTTCCCTTGACCGAAATTCTATTAAGAATAAAACCTGAAATACACTAAAATTAGAAAACTTACCTAGTACCTAAGAAGGTAGATAACGTATGATAGATATTGGGGATTGCTGTAGAATGAAAAGTGCTACAGGGAAAGACAGTGATCTGCTCTAAGCAAGCCATGTGATAGCCCAAAAGTGTGACATCCCTTGTTAACATTAGATTGGCCTCCAGTCACGTGGATGATGCTGCGCCTAGAGAGAGACAAATTTGTACATACTATTATGTTTTCATTATTTAAGATAAATTCATCAGATTTTTCCAGGTTGCATTTTGAAAAATAGACTCCTTGTAGATTTCAGATTTTTTTTAGAAATTTTACTGGATTTAATTTTGATAAAGACGTTTTTGTCACAGCTTGTAGCTAAACTTCATCTTTATCATTATCTTCAACTTTATCATCTATGAGCTAAAACGTACACTGGTAATTCAGTAGCGAGAGAGAACAAAGCTGAGTACACAAGCACTTATCTAAGTATTGATGTAAACTTGATTTTGCTTAAATAAAGATTGTGATATTTTTGCAAACTTGTATTGAGTCTTTTTTTCTTTTGTGTAAAAAGAAAATACAGGCATTGCTTTGTGATACAGCACCTGTCGAATCCTCCTGTTATTTTGCGGTTCCTATAGGCTACTTTGAGAGAAATTTGAGAATACCACGCAATTAATGAAACCAACTTCAGAGATAGATTGGAATATAGCTTTACTTACAAGACACATAAAACTACTGGCGGACTTTGACTTTAGTGAGCAAATTAATCAAGTTAGTTTTGTACAGTTAAATACTAACACTATATAATTTACTTTGAATACTAGCTTCATATATATTTAACACACCTATATAAAACATTAAATTCTTATGCTAATGCATGATAACAAATAATTCGCGTTCTGTACGTTTATGCAATTTCTCTTAGTTTCCACCATACTATATAATTCAAAATGTTCGAAGGTATTGAACTAAAAATGTATTTTAAACTTCTTCCTCTTTAATCCATTAGTATTAATAGCACTTGGTTTGTAATTTGGTTAGGGATGTAATTTAAATGGCAAAACTACATATATTGCTATAACATTATAAAAAAAAAACAACAACGAAGGGTAAAGTTTTAGATTATGAAGGATTTATGAAATAATTTGCTCTTCTTATATTATATAAACTCCCTTTTGTTCAGGTTAAAACAAACCTCCTATGTACGTAGTTTTCAAAAATCTCACAATATAGCAGGCCACATTTTAATAAGTGGAAGGAGAGCAAATCTTGAACTTCCATAAACGGTTAACATTTAGAAAGTAATAAAGATATGAGGATTAAAGATTAGACACTGATGATTTCTGTCAAGATACATATTAGTATTATACCCTTCTATCCATATAAAATATTAGTGGTAATATCTCGGCCCTAAGGTGCCAAAGCTGACCCGATATCCGTGATATGTTAACTTCATCAACAAGAGACTATACAAAAGCTTACAACTGTTTGCAAGTTTAAACAAACATTTCTGAAGCTTATTGTCTTTATGGTATCTATGAGCGAAAGCTAAATATTATCTCTAGGGTGTTGTAACTGAATATTACATATTTAGCCTCCAGTGTATCAGCGACAAGTTTACGGAATTGCAACACTAAAATCCGAGGTTCGATTCCCTGTGGTGGATAAAGTTTAAAGAAGTCAGTTGTGTAGCTTTGCGCTAAAAGAAAACAAGTAATAAATATTAGCAGATTTGTGAGCAGTGCCACCTATTCAGATCTATAAAATTGATTAAAGCAAGCAACCATACAACTTCAGGTAATTTTCAAATATTTCTACTGAAGTAGATAAGGTCATAGATAAAGATTTAATGTTGGTGAGAAAAATATTCATTGAATAAAATACAATGAAGATGCGTCAGTTTTATGGCTTATTTTAAGAATTTACAATGCTCGCTACAAGGTAATTAATAATTGCCATAACTTTCGCTTTTAATTATCTTAAAAAGCACTACAACATAGAAATATAAGGCTTACAATTAGCTTTTATTAAAAGTGTCTACCTAGTAATGGTAAAAAGAAGGATTAACAAATAGAATTGGTTTAGCTACGGCGTTGCTACAAACTTTAAATAATTCATAGCTTCATTATATGATCAAATGTCATTAAATTCAAGAGCAAATGTAAAACCAAATCGATATGTAATTAAACGTCTTAAAAATATATATAAGAAAGAGAGAGAGGGACAGAACTTTTACTATAAATACACATAAATGAGTGAGTCCTCCTGTCCCATTTTGTGTAAATGGAGTCGCTCATTGAGCACTTGCACCTTACGATTGAAAGCTGTGTCTCGTTTCATATAAATTATAGAGCTATAGCTCAAAACAACACTCCCTTTATAAATATAAGCAATACACAACTTCGTATTAGACTCAGTAAAATATGTTTAACTATCAAATACAAATCATCATCATACAGTCGACATAAAATTACCTACAGGTGCCGCACACAGCGGTACGAAATATTTCAAGTATATTAATATATTTAAGACGTAAATTAAATTATAAAACGTTTGTTACACGTATGCAAATTATTACATAAAATAATAGAACAAATACAGCAATACTAATGAGGAAAACAGAAAAACTCCCATTATCTCTTCCTCTTCTTTACGGAAGTCCGAAGATATGTTAAGCACTTCAACATAATCCATTATCTTGGTATATAAATGAAGAACGCCTCCTCACGGTGTATAGAGAGATAACGCTTGGACAATCTTGGGATCGTGTCGTGAACCTTCTTTGAACTCGTCAATAGTTAGCTTATTGTCGTGATTCTGTAATGAAAAATACAATGCCCACATTCGTTAAATTAGAAATATAATAGAACATTTAAATTCTTTTTTCATACTATGATTTTTGCCAAAACAAAGGTGGATAAAAGTTTGTTTCCATGACATTTTGTTAAAATAAGTTATAATGCATTTTCAAGTATAAATCATCAATAAGTTAATGAAAGACTATATTTCAGCAAAAATAAAGATTACAGAAAGGACTCTAAAATTCTGAATTTAAGTAAAAAAGCAAGAATTTGGTTCACGTTTGCTAAATGAAACAGTTAAGATAATAACTTAGTAATCTAATTCAGAATTATCCACCTTTTCGATACCAGAAACCGGGTTCGCTGACTTCCTAAACTGTCCTGGATTACTAAAATGTAAGAAGATCGAAAAAACCATTACGATTTACATATTAATATTCTGTCAGTTTTTGTTTCTTTCTTGTTTGTTGTGAAATCCCATGAACCAGCAAGATGGTTGAGACACACGTGAAATCCCATGGACCAGCAAGATGTTGAGACACACGTGAAATCCCATGGACCAGCAAGGTGGTTGAGGCACACGTGAAATCCCATGGACCATCAAGGTGGTTGAGACACACGTGAAATCCCATGGACCAGCAAGGTGGTTGAGACACACGTGAAATCCCATGGACCAGCAAGGTGTTGAGACACACGTGAAATCCCATGGACCATCAAGGTGGTTGAGACACACGTGAAATCCCATGGACCAGCAAGGTGGTTGAGACACACGTGAAATCCCATGGACCAGCAAGATGTTGAGACACACGTGAAATCCCATGGACCATCAAGATGGTTAAGACACACGTGAAATCCCATGGACCATCAAGATGGTTGAGACACACGTGAAATCCCATGGACCATCAAGGTGGTTGAGACACACGTGAAATCCCGATGGAACAGCAAGATGTTGAGACACACGTGAAATGCCATGGACCAGCAAGGTGGTTGAGACACACGTGAAATCCCATGGACCATCAAGGTGGTTGAGGCACACGTGAAATCCCATGTACCAGCAAGGTGGTTGAGACACACTCATCTACCTCATAGTAACTTACTAAATTTGATTAACTGATGCATTTGTTGTTATTTTTATTTGGCATTTACCCCCTTGGACTAATTCTGTTGGATCAGAGACCCCTAAGATTTAAACGTAGTCATCCCTAATTAATAACAACTGACCAGACAGACAACACATAGCCATCAGTCAGTACCCGTCGCTTATACTGCTACTCTTGACCGAATAACGGTATTAAACGTCACAATGCAGAGTGTTCTGCGGCATATTGCGACTCGAACCTTGGACCTCTCGACACGCAGACCATTTAGCCACGCACAGCTCGTAACTTTCTTCGTAATTGACAAAAAAAAATTGAGACTAAGACGATTGATACATTTATAACTTGCTAGATTTTAACGCAAAGCTGCATAATGATCTATGTGCGCTATTTCTACCAGGAGGAATGAGCCCAGAATTCTAGCGTTGTAAATTCCTAAATTTGCTGCTGAGCCACCCGAGGACACCCACATTTAATATTTTACGAGTATAATTATGTATGATATGATATATTTTCTTGTTATTTTAAATAAAATCTTTATACGAAAAATAAAAAAGGTAAACGTTATAAACATTTCACCAGCCAACAGTTTAAACAACTTCCATCAAAGTTACAGAAATATCTAAGTTAGCGTTATCAATTGACAGCTGTGTCACTAGATATGCTTTGGGATGTTTGGATTTAGCACCTCAGACTATCTAGGTTTCACATTCTCACCAACCTAGGTCGAAAACACAAACATTGGCCACTTAAACGAGCTTAAAAAACGTACTTGATGGACTTGATATATAAGCTCAAAAGCCACAAGCATTTACAGGCCACTTTGAAAACTGCTTCGTTTCATACACGAAAGAAGCGCATACTTTTGAATACAGCAATGATATCGCAACTAATGTACCAGAAAAGGTTTTTAAATTTTAACATCTGACAGTTTGCTCTAGAGATAAAAAAACAATAAAAAAATGGAAGTTTTGTGGGTGAAGAAATTGCAATCGACAGAACTTAGAAATACGCATGTATTGCATACGTTTTCAATCTCAAGACTCAAAACCTGGCATATTTTTCTCTTATCTCTCTACATTCTTCAAACACCATGAAGTTACCATGGTGACAGCAAGTTACCATGGTGACAGCTACCTACCTTATCGAGCTGTTCAAAGATTCGATCCACACGATGTCTGGGTGATTCTTCCACTTCGTCCTTTCCTTGGTTTCCCTGCAAATAAAAATATGATTTGTTTGAACTACATTCTTTTAATACCTTTATAAACTTGAATCTTCTCGACAGTCACTCACTACAATGTAAAATAGACAAGAATATGTTTAAAAACGTAAAAAAAAGAATAATGAAGCTTTATCAAAAACCGTGCACGGCCGGTTTTTATTCTCAAACGACGTTTATTCCTTAGAATGTTCAGAGGATTATAGCTCTAAAATTCTGAGTTCGATCCCGCTGCGGACACGACGCAAGTAGCTCACGGTGTAGCCATGCGCTAAAACAAATACACTACGCATCTAAAACATTCTTATCAGTATGTTTCTAACAAAGTAAGTTGTTTAGAAAATTTAATCATTACATAAATGAAAAAATTTAATCATTACATAAATGAAAAAATTTAATCATTACATAAATGAAAAAATTTAATCATTACATAAATGAAATTATACTTAAGAAAACT